CCAGGCTGGGCTGCTCGGCAGCTTCTTGCCGTGTTTTCTCAGCGCATTAAGCTTGAGCACAGTTGTGGGGATTTGTGAGAAATATGGGTGCTATTCTTTGCATAAAGTGACGCATCTCACTCTCGCTCATTCTCTCTCTCTCTCTCTCTCTCCCTCTCACACACACTCACTCACTCATCAGTTTTGCATCTCTTCATCCTTTTATTTACTTTCACTTCCATCGTTCACTTCACTTCCCATGCCAAAGCTGCACAATTCAGTTTACAATTCTTGGGTTACATTTGCTTCTTGTTGATTTTTTTCCTTTTTCTCTGCTGCTTTGCTGCCACAGCAACTGTTGCTGTTGCTGTTCCTGCTGCTGCTGCTGGTTAAGTGTCACAAATATAAACGATTTTAGCTTTTAAATGCGCCTAGCTCTGGGGCTTCGATTGGGACTGGACGGCGAAGCCCTTGAGTTCCTTTTGTTAGTGTTGTGCATAAGCTGGATATATGGTATTGACTATGCAAATCCGCGGCTTAAACCTTTTTTTTTGTCGTTTCTCTTTTTGCCCTGGACAGCTTTTGCTTGTCAGTCCAAAGGGACGAGCTGCTCAGTTTTTACCTGTATTTGATTGTGCTGGGGGAAATGAAAATAGTTGATTGAAGTTAGTTAAAAGCACTTTTTTCTATTACAACAATTATTTTTGTTTACTCTTGATTGTTAAGCTAAATGGGTGTTTTATTTAGTTATATTCTGAGAATACTTCGTAATTTTACTGCGATAAATTTGGAATATTTTTATTTTATTATGATAAAAACAAACTTTAGTTGTAAATAGATTTTTCTTTACACTTTTATTGGCATTAACAATGAACTCAAGTTTTTGTTTTATTTAAATCGAATTTCAAGCCTTTCAACTTAAACTATAGATCATGCTTTAATGTAAACAAAGCTTTGTTTAGTCTTTACTTTTGTTTAGCCTTTTACTAAAAGGTTGTGTCCTTAGAAAATACCAGGATATAAATACATTAGATTCTCCCAAGTGTTTTTATTTTATTCTGATAAAATCAGAGGTGAATTGTAAATATATTTTTCTTTACACCTTCGCTGGAATTTGCATTGACCTGGAATTTTCAATTTTTATTGTAATTACAATAACGTATTTTATCTCATAAATGCGTTATTTTAAAGGATTTTCTCTGCTGGCTGACATTTTTAAAGCTATTATTTACGTTATGCATTATTAAATTAAGTTGTGCTCGTTGTGGTCAGTGAGTCATTTAGTTAGCCAGCCGTAGAGCGCAGCTCACGCCCCAATTTTTATCATCGGGCTGTCCAGCTGTTCATTAACCTGTGTGTATATATAATAACAGTGCCAGTGGCGCAGCTATGCCGACCCACAGTCATCATCATCCCGCCCGCACGGCTCGCTGCCTTCCATTGCATTGCCAATTTACGTGTGCAAAAATGTTCGCTTCATTTGGTACGCGGCTGGCTGGTGCAGCTGTTGTTAATGCTGTTGTTGTTGTTGTTGTTTGGGGCTATTGTTGTTGTTAATGTTGGCATTGCCCCGCAGCAATGCGGTGCGCATAGTTGACAGTGCGGAAAATGCAACGGCAAATGCCATGAACTTGTTGCAATGACAACAGGGCGACAGGCCGCTACTTAGCTCTGGGCTATGTGCAGCATGAGGCATGGGGCATGGGGCATGCTGCACGTTGCATGCTGAATGCAGCATGATGCATGCAAGTTAACAGCACATTAATCATGGTATGGATCGCATTTGTATTGTGTTGTACGATGGGAACATCCAGCAGTCAGCAGCCAACTGTAGCACGAGCCGAGTCCGTTAGTGCGCTTCAGTCTCATTGCCTGGCAGTTATTATGCTGCTTAAATGCCAAACGTAGCGGCCACATAAAGCTCGACAAATTAACGCGTGGGTGGCCCGTCTGACCCGGTCCGGGTCATGCATCAATGTCACTCTGAATGTTGTTGTTGTTGTTGTTGTGAGACTTGGAGCTGAACAACAAATGAACTTGCAACAATCGCACTTTGCCATGTATTCATATGGCTGCCACATGTGTGCCATTTCAGTTTTCGGCTCGTCGGTTGGAGTTGTTGCTGCTGTTGCTGTTGCTGCTGCTGTTGCTGCTGTGTCGCGTGTCACCATTAAAGAACCAGCACTTACACACGGGCAACAATGTTGGCAAGTCAAGCAACGTCAATTTCCGTTTGTTGTCGTCATTAAAATGCAAGCGGTCATGCCTGGCCGCATTTTGCCACTCACTAGCTTTGATATGATGATGACGATGATGACGATGATGATGAGCATAAGCAGGCTGATGATAATGCTGATGATTGCTGCCACTTTTGGTTGCCTCAGCCGCAGAATTCTATTAATTAGTTGTGGCGCACAACATATGTAAGCGACACTCTTGCAGCACTTAAAACAATTTACTCCGACCATTTGAAATGTCTGCATAAACAAGTTGACAGCCCAGCTGACAGAAAGTCAGACAGACTGGCAGACAGACAGACAGACAGACAGACAGCGAGAGGGAGGCAAAACTATGTCTAGGCACTCGCCTAAGTGCGAGGCAGTTGTGTGTAATCGATACGTTCTGATGATTTCCCATTTGTGTAGTGCTGTCAAAATAGACTCAAAGACCACCTTGGCGCTGCGGTAATGCGATTAAAAATGTTGTTTTTCAAAATCCAATCAACAATTACTCACATATAGCGTGGTAAAACATGTGGAATAACTGAAAACTGAAACTGAAATCAAGTGCGGAAATTGAAATGTTGTAAGTGCAGCAGGCAATGCTGTTCTCCTCCTTCTGCTGCTGCTGTTGCTTCTGGTTTTCTTTAATGGCTCGTGGCAGTTGCGGCTGCTGCTACGACTTGTTGTTGTTGCCAAGAGCAATGCAAAGTTTTGACAACATTTGCCACTTTGTCATTCAATTTTAATTTCAAGCTTCGCAATGCGCTGCGCTGCGTTGCGATTTTTACTTTGTAGTTGGGAGTCTAAAGCACTGCTCGTATTCTGACAAAGTCGAAAAGTTTTTTTTTATCGGTGGATGGGTGTGCAAGTGAGGGGTGGGAGGGGAGGTGTGTGGATTTGGGGTTGTGCTGCTGCTGCAGCTGCAGTTATGATTTACTTGCCAAACGCTGTCCCAAAACGAAACGCAGCGCAACGAAATGAAGCCATCAAAAACGTTGACGTCGTTACGCAAAAGCGGAAATGACAATGATGATGACGATGATGGCCATGATGATGATACTACAGCTACTGCTGCTGGTGCTGATGATGATGATGGTGATGGAAGTGATGATGCCAAATAAAATGGCGAGCAGTGGTGCAGGCGAAGGATGTGCACGCAATGGGAATGTGGCTGTGATTTGTGCTGTTGTGCAGGACGCAGAGCTGCTGCTGCTGCTGCTGCTGCTGCTGCTATTAAAACGCGTGAAATTGAAAAGGCGAAAAATTGCAATGCCAACAGAATTGGCAAACTGTTGGACAAGTCGGCATTCATTGTGTCAATCACCAGGGAAAGAGAAAGTGGGCGGTAACTTTAGCTTGACCAGCAGCGAGGGGCAGCAGCAGCAACGGCAGCAGGAAGCAGTTTATGTAGGACATAGTGCTAAAAGCTGTCAACTATTTGATGGTCATGTTGACCGCTTTCCTGGCGAAATGCTTGGCTCGATTGCACTGTCTACCATAGAAGTCGATCTTTATATCCGCATTATAATAGGCTATGTAGGTTACTGAAACTATTTCAGTTTACTCTCTGTATTATGTGATATTGACAAAGAATGTGAATGAATGAATCTATAGAGATACGATTAAATTGCTTTGCGGGTTGCTTTAAAGCATAAACAGGATTATGTATGAGATATTTCAATTGAAAGAAGTGATAGCAGTTTAAGGTAAAATATAGACAGCTTAAATTAAAGTTAAATTTTTTTATATATGTAAATCTTAGAAAGTAGACAATTTTAGCTCTTTTTAGATGATAAATAACTGTTTTCAAAAAATTTAATAATAATTAAAAACTTAAAAAAAAAAATTAAATAAACAATTAAATAATAAAATAATAAGATTTTTAATTACATAAATAATTTTTATGAGGCTTTTGACAGATGATCATTTGAGCAATTTTGAAATGATTTAGCTTGATCCTTACAGCATTGACTTGGAAATAATTAATTTAAAATAATTGTACAGTCAATTAAAATTTTTCAAATAATCAATTCACATATTACCGTTGACCATTTCTCGATGTCTGCGAATAAATGTCTTTTTGTGACACTGAGAAAAATCTTAGAGAGCAAACGGTTGGATCGTTTCTTCAACGAGTTCGTTCTCGAAATGTTTTTTTTTTTTTCGCTCTCGTTTTTCCCCGATCGTTTGATTGAGTTGTTGAAGCGAAACATCTTTTTTCTATGTATATATGCAACGGTATGCTGAGTAAAGACATCAATAGCGTACTTGAATTTAGTGTGTGCATGTGTATGTGAATATGAAGAATGTGTATCTCTCCCTTAACTATGTTCTACAGGAGAGCACAATACGACTCGTTAAACTTAACGCGCTCAACGGAAAAAATAATATAAAATGAAGTGTCTTGTTCTGAGGTTTATTGATTACTATCCTACTCCCCAGACTAAACCTTTCTTACTTGTTTAATAGAGTCGACTCTTTTTAATTTGTACCCTTCTAAAATCGAAAAATTAAAGCATCTTACGTCCCGAACTAAATCATTGTTACATGTTTAATATTTGCTTAACATTATTAATATTCTCTTTTTCCCCTTTGCTTCATTCTATTCGATCCTTTGACTTTCTCATAATAACAAACACTAACTATATTCGTATTAATGTTTTTATTATCTTTATTAATACTCTAATGCTAACATAGTAATTATATATCAACTACACAATGTATGTACTCCAATTACTTGTATCAACTAATTAACTAACATGTCTCTCTGTTTTCATTTCAATTTTCTTGTTTCCACAGGTAGCGACCATGATGTCCTGCCCCTTACCTATGCCATTACCGATACCAATACCTTCAATACATAAAACTGAATTCACACCGGTTCACATTGGAGTCAAGGTGAGTCTCTTACTAAGCTCTATCTCTTCTCTCTTACTCACACACACACACACACCTTTATCCCAATAATATTTCGAGTGCGAAACATGGGCCTTTGCGCATTGCCTCATTATATAATAGTAAATTAAGCTCATAAATGCGAATATCATGCAAATCGCGACCTCCGTGGCCAAAAAGTCAACAAGTGGAGCAAAATGCTATATGTAAATGTTGCCGCTGCCACTGGCGCACAAGAGCGAGCAGCGCACCACAGCCACCACAGACAGGATGTGACAGCATGTCGAGTGGGGTTGCTTCATTGTTGACATTATTGCAGGCACACACACACACACACACACTCCCCACATGTATTTCTATGTATATATTAACAATATATACATATATACATATTCACCCAGATATAGAACGGGAGCAGAGTATAATGCGCGCCACTAAATCAAATTGTTGCTTGCCAAGATGGTGACGCCTGACGCTCTCCTCGTCCGCACACATCCTCATTTGACTACAACTTTAATGGGCAGTGATCACATTTTAATGATACCGAAATGCAGTGCCCGCATATTCTCGTTGTTGTTTTTGCTTTTGTTGTTGTTGCTGTCGTTGTTGTCGTTGAGGAATAATGATGTCAAACCTGTGCATCAGCAGGAGCAGCAGCAGCAGTCGCGGCGAGGGCTGACAGTGTTGTGGAATGCGTCACGTTTGATAAATGCTGCAACATATTTCTTGATTTTGTTTGTCCTTTCGTTTAAATGCCACACATAAATCTATTTTTGAATGAAGGCCACTGCGTGGCAAAACGTGGCGTATGCGCAATATATGTATATATACATATATATACATCTTTTTGGCTGTTTGCTCCATTTTATTGTTGTTGTTGTCTGGCTGTTTTGCTTTTATCTGAAGGAAACGGCGCTTATTGTTTGCATAATGGACGCTCGTTAGCGCCGTATAACATATATATCTTCGGCTATATATATATGTGTGTGTGTGTGTGTGTGAGTGTAAGGCATTGTGGCGATCCTTTAAAGCAACATTTTTGCAATGTCTGCCAACAATGCTTGAACCAATATAAATGCGTTTTTAATTTGTTTTATTTAAAAATTATTTTCCATCACGCCTAGAAGGCATATCAAGAGCTGCTGTTGCTCCTGCTGCTGCTGCTCCTGCTGCTGCTGCTGTTTAAATCGTTGTCGGCCTTTGTCAGTGCACGTTTAATAAATGAATTCCTAGTATTCTCCCCTTTCGGTTTGTTTGACCAGCACTGCATGGACATCGTTTCACTCTTATCCTTGGGGCACGCCAGCTGCGTTCTTGATGCCACAAAGGCTGTGTGACATGGTAAATGAATTTTTTGTTGCCAAAACAGCATGCCAACAAAGTCACAATAGAGTCGAGTCCAACCGTTCTGATCAAAGATAAATGTTGCTTGCTGTTCTGTCTGTGTGTGTGTGTGGGCTACGAGAGCCGACTCTTGTCACTGCTCAGTGTCCCATGCCCAGAGGTTGGCCTGTGGTTGCATTGGTTTGTAGTTTTCATCATTAAGAAGATTTTGTTCGTAAATGGATTTGGTCAATCTATGCATTTAATTCTATTTTGCGAACTCAATCGAAGATAAATGAAACATGAGATGTCAATTGTTGACTACTGACAAATGCTTTTAAAAATAAACTGCAGCACTCGATGGAGCTTGACTGAAATATATGTTTTGTATATATTCATAGAGCAACACGGAGGACAACTTAGTATATATAGTTATTTATGAGGGGGCAGAGGAAGTGAGTTATGCTTTGATGAGGTAAAGAGGGAAAAACTGGGTATCTTCATTCACACTTCGTGATATAAATTCAATGATTATATACCAGCGTAATAAAATCTTAAATGCTATAATGTATCATAATCTAATATTTTAAAACATATTTATCCAATAATTTGCAATAATTGTCAAAAAAGCATTTCCAGTAAATTTATATACAGAAATTTGCTTGTAAGCGCATAATTATAAAACAAATTATTTAGGGCCTATCATCGTATCGGTTGTCCACAGGGATCAAAGTTTAATTGGCAGCTCATAAATCTGTTGTCAATTTTTGTTATTTTTTCCCTCACTCTTTCTCTCTGTTTAAAATTTTTTTTCTTGTATACAACGAAACAGCTTAAAGAACGACACGCGGCTAATTATCAGGCAACATTAACTGGCTGATAGGCATGCTCGGATCTGACTCGACTAATTAAGGCAAATCAGAGCACGCAAAGTAGACGCTGACTGAGCCGTGGTGATAACAGGCCGGTTAGCAGTTCATAAAAAAAAGCAAAGGCAAAAATTATTTAATAAAACGTCAGACACATCTACCAACAACAACAACAACAACAGCAGCTGCGAGGGTTGCCTTAGAGGGGTCAAAATTTAACGAGCCACCAGCCACGGCCGTTAAACCCAATTTCCCGCCCGAGGAATCAACGGAAACTTACACTTGACCGCACGGCATAAATCATCTAGCAGAGAATTAAACTGGGTGGCTTTTGTAGGTGGTGCAGAGTGGTGGAGTAGCATCTATCTATCTCCTTGCCCCATAAAAAATGGCTGTAAAGGTGTGTCGGCTAAATAATATTTAAAACCAGAAATAAGACAATGAGATATGCATATTATATAGACCTTTTAGTGTCTGGGGTGGAATGTTTATGTCTTGAGGGGGCCAAAAAAAAAAAAAAAAAATTCAATATCAAGTCTCATTTGCAGCCTATGAAAATGGGCGTTTTGGGTTTAATAAAATAACATATTAGGGAACAGCAAATTTGATTTATTCGCTCGCTGCTATCTATAAACCAATAGGTAATTCACTTAATTTTAATATATTCAACAAATTTTCGATTTTCTGAGAAACGAAATTCATTAGCCTGAAGTTAAACATTACGATCAATCATTAGTGCTGCAGCTGAATTGCATTGATGATGTTATTATAAATGAAAGTTACAATAATATATACAATATATATAAATAAGTTTGCCTTGAGTCAAAGTGAATATAAAATCAATATCATGATTTAGTGTTCATTTTTAGTATTTTTATGCTGTGACTTGATTTGTATATTAAAATATCAGTAATATACAGTAGAATCTGGTCCACAGATAAACTGATATGTATTTATTCTACTGTATTTATTTTAAAAAAATATATATTTATTTCGATAAATTATTCGGATTACAATAGCTGCAGCATTTCTTCTATGTAGGAAAATTTTCCTTTCTTATGATCATGATCAATATGGACTGTACCATTATAGGTCGGACTACATTGAGGTCTTCAACTTTGGTTTGAGTTTGAACTCTTTAAAGCTTAAAAAAATAATAATATGCAAACAATATACTATTAAAATAAGCTAAAAATCGAGATAAATGTATTCCGTAGCATTCTTTAAAATTGTTGTGGTGGTATCTGGTGCATCGTGTTTGCCTTTAATGAAATGAAATGGGTTATTGGTAAAACATGTCCACATCTGTAATTTATATTTAATTTAGCCTGATTTCGTAAATCTTCAAGCCAACAACAACAAGCAGCCAATAAGCGCTTTTGCGCAGAGCTTAAGAACTTCCGTTTTCATTTTGTTGTTGCTGCTCCTTCTCTCTCTCTCTCTCTCTCTCATTCTTTCTGTATGTCGCCCTGCTTGGACAGCAGGTGATTGTACCTATATACCCACTTTGGCATGCACCCTGTCCGCGCCTGCGACCCGTCAGCAGCCAACTGTGCAGCACTTTGACCGGCCAATGCTTCCGGGTTACGAAGTGAAGCGCAGCGAAGTGCCGTTGGCAGACGACTCAGCTGCTCCTTTGCTGGATCCTTTTGTCTTCTTGTCTTCATTCGCGTACATTTATTTTTCTTATGCTTGTTATTAATAATTTAAGTTGCGCTCTACTTTGGCATGAAGACGATGAGGTAAGAATGACGATGAGGATGCTGCCGATGAGGACTGCTTCGTGCAGCATTGTTTGTTTCTTGCCGGTGTTTGTCTCTCTGTCTGTCTGTATGCCCGGCTGTTTGTCTGGCGCTTTGCTGCGCAGTTTATTCTCACAAAGGATTGCGTTTCAGTTACATTTCGGGGTGTTGTATTAAGCGCTCATTTCCAGCTACCTTTAGATGTTGTTTTTGTTGGCCACCTGGGCTGGGCTGGTACTTTGTTTTATTTTTTATTTCCACTCAAATTGTTTTATTTGCTGCAGAGCAGAGCAGAGCACACAGCAGCGCGCACCGAGCCCCAGACGACTGGCTTTATTACAGCGATTTTTCTTGAACGCATTTTTCGCATGTTGTCGTTTTTCTTAGCTGTCTCTTACCTTTCGTAATTTTTATGATTTTATTCTTTGCCTTCACCTCCGGCTCACCTCACGCATGCCAGCGCCAGCCAACGGGGAACGACGAATGCGACTGTGGCTGCTTTGTTTGCTTTTTGGTTTTTATTATTGTAATTCATATAAAAAAGCTGAGCGCAGTAGTAGTTGCTATTTGCCCGGGCACTTTCTGTGTATGTGTTGTGTGTGTGTGTGCGCGATATAATAAAAACCTTTTTCAGGAATTAAAAAAAAAAGAAAAGAGATGCGAACCAAATTGCCCAAAATCCGTGTGCCGCACATGCTCTCGGCAAACAGCAGGAATAAAGAAAAGTGCTGGCATTGAGTATGCGCCACGTAATCCGCAAGAAAACCCAACCAGAAAACATACAAGAATTGCTGTACTTGTGTGCAATTCGATTTGATTTTTGCCTTGTGGCCTTTGTTTGCTACGCCAGCCTTGGCAAGCGTTAAAAATTATAGTTATTTAGTGTGATTGTTTTGTTGTTGTTGTTGTTGTTATTGTTGGGGTAATTCGGGCCCAAGAATTTGTGGCACATTAGACATGCACACGCCATCCTTTAAAGTGGCAATGCCAGAGAGCTTCATGGCTCTTCGCGTCTCCATTTTGCGGTGGCCCATTACACACACACTCACACCCACAAAGAGGCGATGTAA